AGCAAAATTCATTTTTCATTACTACTCGTTCAATCAGTCAGTCACCCGGTCCGTCGTCATTGAGCAAGCAGTCGAGGATGAATTGCGCATTGTTATGAAGCAGGTAGAGGGAGTGATGGGGCGAAAGACAGGCTTTCTGGCTTGTTGTCTGCCATCGCTTGTCATTGCATGGTATGTGACCGTGGACTGGTCGTTCCGTTGCTTACGGATGCTTGACATCCCAATGTCATATAATTTGGCAGTAACACCACGCACATGTTGACTTTTGTGAAAAAATAGAAGAATGGAAGAGTGGAAGAGTTTTGCTGGAAGCGGTGTGCATAACTTTGAGTGATTTAAGGTGCAGAACCACACATCCGAAGTGTCTCATCACGACTTCAGAAGCTATTAAGTAAGTGATGAGAGAAATTTCCGGAGCTGTTGTACTGAGCAAGTAGGAGAGAGGCTGGAATTAAAGGTTGCAGTTTCAACAGACATTTTATGATATGGGGTTGCAGAATTTGCAATCAAATTATGTAGGACATTGTATGGATTGGGATACACAGGATCCACAAGTTGAGACAAGTCTTTGTGGTGGTCTATACCAGACACCAGACGACCTTTTTGGATGCTGAGACATTTCACCCACCACACACCCGCAATCCATTACTTAATGAACTGGCTCTACAGTACTCGAGACAAGGACTTTTTGTTACATTCCGCCAAATTTGGAGTAAATAATCTACACTACTGGTAAGTGATTATTTCCGATGAACCAAACACTTACATTTTCCGAAAAAATCAAAGGAGAAGTTGTAGAGATCATCACCTCACCACACCTTTTGCCTGCACATGTGCACACAGAACGAGAGTGGGGAGAGGATACCACAATCATCCATGGAGGCTAGATCTGTTATCAGTCCTGACAGAAAGTTGAGACACTCCGGGCTCGTGTTGCTTGACCATGACACTAACCCCTCATGGTGGTAATTCATACCTGTTCCTTAGCTCCCTCTACCAGACACATCATCAATTCCCGCACTGGAGTCTCCACACATTGCGTAGGTGCTAAGTCCGCCATGAGCAAAACAGGCCAAATTTTGGATACTCGATACATTTTGAGCACCACAATTAAGGTGAATTGTCTAATTTAGGCTACCTTTCAAAGATCTAGCAATCAGCGCAAAAGAGACCAAAGAAATTGGGATTTGCTCAAGATCGAATGAACATTGGTTAAAAGGGAGGGAAATGGGACCCACCGAAGAAACTTGGTTGGGTAATAATAATGCGCACGTGGATATTGCAGGGATCGCCGAGTTTGGAGAAAGTGAAAGACTCATTGAAGCTCTCGCGTTGATCTAACAACTCCGTGCGCTTGGTTTTGAGCATCTTACCCTGAATGCCCTGACACACCATCACCTTGGCGTAGACACCTACAAAAGTTCAAATGTAGGACTACTCAGAGGCGTTATGGACTGATTTATTTGGAGAGAAACCCTCAGCACTATCCATTGAAGCTAAGTGATAGCATTTTAATCGTCGACCTGGAATCTCAAGGCTTTCTTTAACCACAGCAAAGATGCCTAGCTCATAGGATGACATGAAGCAGGAGGCATGGCTAGTGCTCTGAGTCTTCTAATAGAATTGCAAAGCAATCGCCATAGCCTGAAGGCCATACGGCAGGGTGGAAGTGCAATCTGGTGAGAATGAAGTGCTCAACAGAAGTGTTTACTGAGATGTCCACTAGACTGCTCCACTTTGATGAAACTTTGGACTCATTAGAATTGGGCAGGCACTAAGTCGATTTGAAATCTTCAGTCAAAAAGACTGCAAAGCATTTAAGCATTGAAACAAATGCGGAAATATTTCCGCCTTGAAATTTATGACAAAATGTTAAATGCTATTTTAAATGAACTGAAAAGTTCGGCTTCACTCCAGCGATTGATATTCCTTATTGTGCGCTTCACTGTCTTACTGCAGTGTTTAACACCCTTAAAATGGCTGTGGCGCCTTGATGTGATTGAAGCTAGACTATGTCCGGCAACGACTCTTGACAAGGAGATCGGTGATTTAGGAGGGGCGTGGAGAGATACCACCTCACCCTCTCTCCCTCCCTCCTTTTTCCCTCTCTAAGTAGCCGTCGATTTTGCTTAAAATTAAATGATTAAAAAGCAGAGTTGGATAGAATTGGTTTATAAAAGTTGAATTCGTAAGACTATTTAAATGAGCAGGAATAGTAGATTAATTTCCATTATGAAAAACCGGATAAACTTGCTTGATTACCTAAGTGATCAAAACTGTGCAGGAAATGGTCTGATATGGCAGTTAAATTGGCGATTTTTAGAAGAACTATTGCCCAGTCGAATTTAATATAATGATTTGAAACCTTTAAATGGGTGGCCAAATGAGCGGGTCCTCCGCTAGGCGGCGGGAGCGTCTAGACCCCAGCTCTACTAAACGTTAGTAAGTAGCATGACCTTCAACTCCACTTTGGACCATTACGACCTTCCGGAAGGCTTGCAAGCGCTTCATTAAGATAAAAAAAGTAACAAAAAATAACAAGAATGTTCTCGAGAAGCAGATGAAGTTATGTGAAAAAATGTCGTCATCGCTTGCTAGATTGACAAACGCATCTGTGCAAGAACGTAGATCCCACTTTGTGGACTTTCTGAACGGCGATAAATGAAATAATTTAGGGGTAAAAATAGTTAAACGCTGGTGTCATTTACCAAAATCCTGTGCTTGAGCAATTATTTGTGGGTTAAGAAAGGGAGAATTAAAGCACAAGCAAGCCCCTTTCATCCACTTTATCTCCTTCTTAAAAGATTGTGGGGGAAAGAAAGATCAGCTTCTGATTTGATTTTACTTTTTTTTAAGAAGTAGTTTTGTGACTTAATTTGACTGGCGATTATTAGATCGTAAATTACCAGATAACGGACAAGGGCTTACGCAGTCCAACTTCCCTTCTTACAGACTACATAGCAGATGCGGAAAAAAGCTCACAACTTGATAGAATTTACTGAAACCAACAAGGAAATTTACTTACAGGTAGGCCCCCAATTTCCCATGCTACCAAAAATTAATTCCCTACGTAAACTCACTTATAGGCAGGCCAGTGGCTTTGAGAGGCAAGTTGTGGCATTCAAAAAGGCCAACAGTTAGCCGATCGGCGGACGGGAAGTAGGTGAGAGAGACCACGAGAAGAACGCTCCCTGGGGACTGAAATTTATAGGGGAAAAAAGATTGCATAAAATTAATAAATTGATAAGTGGTGGGAGAATCCGGTATGTTCAACCGTTCTGAGTGTATTTCAAACCCCTTACCGGTGGAGGGTTCAAGTACACATCCTGCGGAGCGAATGGGGTCGTCGAATATGGGGAGTGTAGTGGTTATAGAAGGTAACATTCAACCTTGATTTGGCAGGAATCCAACCAAGATTTAATTTTTAGAGGTTTGTCCTTGATGGTAAAATCACCTTAGGTAGGCTGATAAGATCTTTAAAATGGTAATATTGAGGTAATTTGAGCCTTGAGGTTTGTGGGATAACTAGCTGAAGAGGAAGCATTAGAGTTACTCTAAAAAATTGTCTTTATGAATTAGGCAAACGTAAACTGCATTTATTTTTCAGGCAAATCCGAAAGGAAGTTCTATTTTTTTTTAAATGCATTCTTCCAGCTGTATTATCACCAGACACGGAGAGACTTATCTTGGCACGCGGCACACGGTAAACCTGGAGGTGCGAAATTACGGGGAACATGTCTGGACCCTCAAAAGAAAGCATCACTGGATGGTTAAATTAGCTGTCAATTACGTTTTGCCCACCTAGCTTCAACTTACATTGGAGCCGTCATCCAGCTGGAGGTCTCTCGCGACTCTGATTGGCCGCCATTCGGGTTCGGTCCGGGCAAGAATGGTCAGTGGAAAGGTAATAAAGCCGATTAGAAGGGTTCGTTTTGTCTTCTCAATAGAGAGGACATCCAGACGAATGTTCTGATTGGCCAATTCCCGTTTAGGCAGCTGAAAACAAAAGTGGGATTTATAAGAAGGCAATAGAAAATTGCCCATTCATGGAAATGTCTCACTGCAACCCCTGGGGATATCTGTCTCCCAGTAAACACTCCAATTCTAGCGTTTTTGGGTTATCATTGAAGTCTCAGACATTCTGTAATCGCTTTGAGTTCTAACCATTGGACAGCACAACGTGATGAGCCACTTTGTACAGGCTAATGGGCATAGTAAGGTTAGAGTCATTCGAAATGGGGGAATGGTGACCAGGGTGAGAACCCCAGCGATTCAGTCAGCAAGCAGATAAGCACACGCATCGAAAGCCCTCGTAATGACACCTTCATCGCCCATTTTGGATTTTAACAGCCGTCGCGTTCACTCATACACACAGCAGATCATAAAAACAGTTTTTCCACCTTATTATCAAAAACAGATCACCGAAATTTGGACAGATACACAGATGAGCAAGTTGTCGCATTGCTGATGAAGTTACTCAGTAGTGTAAGCACTTCGTCGAATTTTAGTGCCTAAAAATGACCTTGAGTCTGTTTTCCAACTAGCTACGGAGTACTTAAAGAAAGAAAAGCAATTTAAGTGTCTTTTTCTCCGATTTGTTCAGAACCTCTAACTACTCTGCCACCATTTCATTTATCATGAGGGGATGTAGGGAGACAGCAATGAATGGAATAAGCCTTGTTTAAACAGGACTTTTGGGGGTAGTGGGCGGGCAGATTGGCTCAACCTCGGGACCGAGTAGGCGTCATTGATCCCCAAGGGGCGAGCATAACCCGATCACCATAAAATCTGGAGTATTTCTCATTTTCCAACATTATGCAATACAGGCTTTCTACCTTTAAACCTTTTTCTGGAGACAGAAGGGTCAAACAATGAAGATATTCCAGTTGTCAAATTCAATGATGAAGTACGTGTCATAATTTGACTGCTTCATTAGCTGTCAGCATCTATTCAGATTTAAATTCTCTTTCTTACTTACTGCTTAACAGCTCGTGATACGTCTACACGCCAGCTGTGCAAACTATCACATCTACTCCCCGCAAGAAAGGTGGTGACACTTGACTTCTTGTCTGAAGATCAAGAAATCCCATCAACAATGAGCTTTGGTAATTCGGACAGCCAGCAAAACAACCCCTTGATTACTTTGCTTGAGTGACCTCTTAGTTGGGTGCTTTAATTATGTCTTTAGGGGCGGAGAGGAGAGGCGAGGTGAGTGAGGGGGAAGAAGAAGCGAAAATGCACAAATTTATGCGCACCATCACAGATGACTTATTTTTCCAACTCTGCCGAAACCTTTAAAGGAGCAGTCGATAGTCGTAGCTGTTGAAGAGAGCGGTACTTCCGACAACAGGCCAAGTTAAATAGCGTGGGAGATATTTAAGAATACGACCTTAGAGATCTGTAAATTTTACACTAGGGAGTTGTATTTCTCCTCAAAATTCCCTAATTTATTAGAAGATAACATGTCAGATATCTTGCTCGATTTTTGGGGCTTAAGAGTCGGTATAGCTTCTAGCAGGCGATGGACTATGTGAGGATCAAGTGAATTTCGACCTACTTAACCGAGGAGAACTAAAAAACACTCTGAAATTTCGGCATTTTCAAGTAAAATTTTTAAAGGAATTAGAGGCGTCAACGTACTTGAAATGTGAAGGACTCCTCAAACGTCGGATTGTTAGTCTGTTTCTTGATTGACGTCGTGTGGAACTTTCTCTCCGAGTTTTCCACATAGACTCTACAAATTAATGGAACATTAATATCGCGTAAAGAAGAGGCTCTCAAAACATTAGGCCATCGAATACACTTTGGCAATTATTCAGACAGTAGCTTGGAACCAATCTGACCTCGGCATAAAGTTGAATCGACTTGGCAACATTCTCGTGTCCTTGAGAAAAGTCTCCCGACATCTTTATCTTAAGGGAAGGCGATATCTCATAAAATTTGAGATCTTCATGGATTCAAACTCTGTTAATTGTCTCGAAGGTAGGGAAATCTACTGGAAACTCAGTGGCCTTATGTAGCAGAAATAGATTTGGGCTCATGAGCGTATCCCCTACAGAAATGCCCCGCTCTAGGAGGTTGAGTTGGTCAGAGATAGCCAAGGGTATCTATTTGTTGCTCAAATTTGGGGCACAAAGACTGTTTTTTCCTCACAAATCAGTTAGGAAGCAGTATAAAACCGCGCGGTATTTTACAGGGCGCATTGAACAGGCAGGTAAAGGACAACTAGGGGGTCTTTGAAGTTTACCGCCTGTCATCCGCTATTGATGGATGTAAGTGGAGCCCATTCGCCCAACTTCAACACGGCTTTTAATTTTAAGTCGATATAGAGGGGAGCGAAGTGCTTCAACATTGTTAGGATTTTTTAGGTGCAATTGTTCATTGTCACCAAATGGGAGAGGACTTTTAGCTAATCAACTGACCGACTCGAGCCGAGAAATGATCTGTGTAGTCTAAGGGTGTACAAACAAAACGAGTCAACCACCTCACAGCTCATTCTCAGAGGACCATGCTTACCGTGTTTATGCATGATCCCTATAAGTGGGACTATTCGGACTGTCAGAAGCCAAACAGCAAACGCGCCTGAGCTCCTCTGATTTCGAATAACACTGATTCGAAGGAAGATAGGACTAGGAATTCAATCGGAAAGTGGTGACATTCTTATAAGGTGCAACAAAATTCACGCTCCACCTTAGTTTGGAAGGAAGAGAGATCCTTTCCCCTATTCTTCTGGGGACAGTTCTTCAGGTGGTGATCGCCACCTCTTCTTGACATCCGCCCTACCGTCAAGCAGTCATAAGAAGTTGAGTAGGCAAGTGGGAAAGATAAGTGGGTAGGTTTATGTTTCCTTGAAAAGTGGAGTCTGGCAGATAGAAATTACGGCTCGCACAGAAGCCGCCAATCCCCTAGCCTTGGCACTGGCATTTAATGATAATATGTGAAGGGTAATAAACAAATGGAGAATAGGGACGAAGGCGATTGCGCCCATACTGATCGCTTCTAGAGACAAAGTACTTGATAAGCGTGATCTTTGCAAGCTTGTATCTACCTTAAAATAGATGTCAGAAGCGATTATTCAGTGAATAATGTGTTCGAAGTGTACCTTTCATGAATATGTCCAAAGTTATCTTCTGCGTTGTAGGAACAACTGGAAAAGTGAAGGCAGATTAAACAAATCCAAAAAGCATTAATGGCCCATTCACTGGTCATTATTTGATATATTCCGGCTTCTCTTTATCTTACTCAAATCTACAACAATTTGCAGCCAGATTGTAAGGTCCCATCCTTCTTATTGCCAAAGGTGAAATCCTATTTCCCCACCACTGTTTACCGGTTTCACAGCTTTCAACCGATAATATAAATGTGAACTTCATTTTCCATTACTTTCTAGGAAAGATGTATGATCGCTATGGGGAGGGAAAACGGCCTGGGCATAACAAAATCGACTCGAACGTGACGTCTTGAAGGCTACCAACTTAGCAATCTCACAGCAGGAATAGCGAGCTACCTCATTCTGTGTCTCCATTTTGTTCAGTCGAAAAATAAAGCAAAATTCCGAGTTTTTCCCTGAATTAAATAGGTAATTCTGACCTGAGAGCAGAGGATAGAATTGGAGCTTCAAATCACCTGAGTGGACAGCTGTATAGCCTGATGTACATTAGCGGTAGGTAGGGGTAGGTGGACAGCCTTAAATTCAGTGGGTCCAGGGACACTGCCATACTAAGCGGGTAAGCTATAGGGCAAAAAAGAGATCTAGAAGAGGAGCAGTGAAAATAGGAAAGAAAATACGGAAAAATGCAGGTTTTTTTCTATTAAGACAATCAAGCTGAGTGCTCCACTCCCTCTCCCTCTGGAGGCGATGAGCTCATCCCCAGTCACCACCTTCCCTACTTCCCCTTTTAACTGTCTGCCAAGTTTTGCATCGTGCATACCGAAGTAGAGGGTGGTTAGCACCACTTGAATGAACACTACAAAGAGAAGTGTAATGCATAAACCCATCCAAAAAGAGCACCTCCTTCTGACTGACAACTTCTGAGGGCCAAGAGGAGCAACTGTTCCCCTGAGTTGCACCCAATTGCATAATCGGTGCTTGACTCACAGCCGTGTAGACAATCGCATTTGTAGGAGGATCACGCCCGAACTAGGCAGTAATAGTCCTCTGCGAATGAATTGTGAGGCGGTGGGCCCATTTCATTGTCTAGCGTCGAACTACACGAGTAATCATTCATCAAAAATCAGTCGTTTCGAATGCAGCCCTATCTTGGTGGCATATTTTTACAAGGTCAAAGTAGTGTTAATAAATGCAAAATCTTTTCACTTCACTATCACCATCTTTTGTCTGTGAGTGGAGCCTACTTGGGAGGTTTCCACGATCTTCCCAAGTGGTGTGAATGCAGAGGCATGGCTTCAGCATCCTCGTTGACTCACTTATAAGTGCCCTCTATTCATGAATAAATTAATATATCAAAAGTGAAACGCCTTAATCTCCCATTATCTTTTCTAATTTTAGACTAAAATAAATAATGCCTTTTTACACTCTTCCTTTGCATGAATGTCACCTACAAAGGTCATCAAAATCGCGAGGACTACCCAAGCCTATCTGTTATTTTGAGTTTCACCTCACAAGATGCTCTAAGAAAGTTAATTTTTGAAAGAAAGGCCTCCATTCTGTTGCTCATTTTCTTTTTGGGAATTTTCAAACAACTGGCAGATAAACTCCGTTACATTGTGCTCTATTATTGTCTCACAGCGTCTGCACTTTAAGTCTAATGTAGCAATACATTTTTAGACAAGGAATAGAGGCTCTAACTTCTTCGCAGACTGGTCGGAAAAGGCCTACGCTTGCCTCCATCTCTGCTGTGTATTTTAGGGTACACACTATGCCGCCACAGTAGCCCCTCCCCTATTGTAACAGGGGTCATTGGAGAAGTCTCGAAAACTACCCCACCTCCACCTTTTTCCATTGTGGATAAACACATTTAACTTGTCCAGCAATACCTATTCAAATGGCTGAATAAAAACAAAAAATATGTTTTTTTTTCTACAATTCGCGGTGGTAGATGGCGCAGTACGGCAAAACAGATCTTCCTCCTACTCTCCAGATATCCTTCTTGTTTAGAATACATTGGTAACTGATAAACAATGAAGATTCTCGGCGAGAACAGAACAAATGCGTCTATTTGCATTGAGGGACGGATTTACTGACTAAGCAAGTGGTTAACATAGCGATCTGAGACTTTCTCGAAGACATCAGAAGACACAATACTGAGACAGAATATGTACTGTCGAAGGATAGAAGGGCTGAGTTACAGGCCTGGCTTGGATGCCAGGCTGCCCGGTGAAAATGCAATGGCGGAACCCCTAATTGGCTTGTTACTAAAACTGAGAGCTGAATAAACAAGCAAAGCATTTTCCATTTAGTCCAACTTCGACAATTAGTCAGACATACTCAGTCACGTAAAACGCAGACAGGAAGTTGTTTTGGATCATTAGCCCACTTTCATATGATGAAATGGCCGTTTAGCCAAGCGGATGTGATCGGAGCTTAAAGGTTTTACTAGCCAAGAGGAAGTAGCCTCCAAAGATGGAGAAACACCTCGTAAAAATTTTACCTCAAGAAGGTGTAGCACCTTCCGGAAGTAGTAAGCTAATCCATCTTATGCACCAACGGGCGAATCGCTTCACCTCCAAAAGACGGCTTGCCTGAAGCCTGTGTGGTGCACTGCGGTTGTATTCGTTCACTTGCCTAAAGATCGGTCAGCAATCATACCCGAGATTCATCTCCTTAATAAGATATTGGAGGTACTCTTCTGCTGGAAGATCGTACACCACACTCCGCATCTATAAGATATTCACGTTCTAAATGGGGGGAGAAAGTGGAGAGATGAAGCGGGATGGAAATGTTAGTAGCTTGAGTGAGATTATCAACCTTTAGAGTTTAGATCTTATAAAAGAAACTTCTGGCAAGTTTGGTTTGCCAGAAAAGGGTCACACTTTGTTAGTTCACGGAATGGGTTAGGTGGTGCAAAGAAAATAGGTTAAAAAGTCGGGCTGCGAAGACGATTTAAATCACCGATTAGGATTTAACTACGGAACAAAGTGTTTAAGCTGCCTGCAATCCAAGAAGTACATTCTTGCCCAACTCTGTAGAAGGTCCAATTGACACCTAATCTCCAAACTCTCGCTCACACCTGCCTGATTGTCTCACCTCCAGCTGGGGCGTTCCCCAACTCTACCGTCAACCACTCGAAGAGCGGTCACCATGGCTACGTGCGACTCAAGTCACCGAGGCCAAACGCCGAGGCGACTCAAAAGCATCTCACAGGCAGACTCACTCTCCAGCCGGCTCTGCTTTGTAGCCACGATGTAAGCACCCACTGATCGTGCCTCCTTTGGGTACTGACTACTTCAGTCAATGAAGACGTCCGTTTGAAGACTTAATCCACCAATTATCTGGATGAGGGCCTCTGTAGGGCCCAGGAACACCATTCTGGGAACTCCGAGCCATAAAGGTAACAACCCAGTTGGCAGTGCAAATTCATTTTAAATGTTTCTTTCTGATTATATTTTCAGTAGTGCATATTTGCACTGCTATATTTGAACCGCCGGATAAGAAAACTATTAGGAATGACAGCCTTTTTAACCTCTCTGATAAAATATTTGTTTTAAAGGCTTGATTTCTTCTATTTGCGAACTCTCAGCCCGTCTTTACGTAAATTGGTGTGACCTCAGACAGGACTCGGGACTCAAGGTGAGGGTATCGAGAACGAAAGGGTCAAGTTCAGCCTATCTAAATACAGCAGTATGAGGTGAGATGGTAAAGTGAGGGAAGTGCGACAACTATCAATTAAAAAGGAGGAATGGAAGAAAGGTATTAAACTTATTCTCGTCCATGTTTTCACCTAAGTAGGAATTGGTGTGCAAAAGTGGTAACTTCTATTTTAGTTATTCCACTTAACTGATTTCCTCCAAAAGGCTGCAAATTACTTTTTACACATCAGCACCCACAAAGCCTAGGTCTTAGAAATCTGAAGATACAAGTTATACCAGCATTTTCAGATGCGATATGTGGGCTCAGAGGAGAATTCGGGGAGCGTCACATATGTGTGACCCCTATAGCGAACATATCAAACTAATGCGATGGTTTCTACTTACTTAATACTCCGAGTCTAATGGGTGACAGGTGCTGTTTTCAATGGCCTTTCATCTGTCCATTATTATGGATGACGACACGTACACTGCTACTCATTTGGCAAAGCATAGAGAAGTAAACACAGGAGATTTAATGCAGAAAAGGTCATAAATTCTTCAAGTTACACTGTTTAAGAACAAAAAACCAACATGTAACAGAGTTTTACGGAAAATTGTTAGAACTGATTCAATTTGATAGTTGCTGTGATACAATATGCGGGCGCAGATGAGAAGCCGATGCGCGTCACACATGCGTGACACCTATGTCGAACACGTAAAACTTATGTGATGGTCTCTGCTTACTTCATATCTTTAGCATGATAATAGACAGATGATGCTTTTAACAATCTTTTATCCATTTATCATGAAAAACAAAAACATACATGATAGACATGGGCAGGATCTAATAAACAGCACTACAAGTACAGAGTTGATTTATTCTTTCACTTTACATTCAAACTAGCGCCTGAGGCGAACACTTACTAAAAAGTCCTTAAAAACGTGCCAGAATATGATCAGCCTAATGTACTTGATTGGATAGATTCTCCTCTACGAACAAATTCTTCACAAAATGGGTTTCCTATTCATTTCACGGCCAAAATAAAATATTTTCATCGAAGTCAATGAACGACGCGTCTCTGCTGTATCTATCAGCCACTTTCACATTACAATTTAACCTTCTTGTTTTCCATCCTTTCTGGCGAAGGACTAAGGTCATTTAAATCAGACCATCTTTCCGACGGCCAAGCTATAAGCGGCGCGATCTGAGAGAACCCCCGAATGACAAACTAATTTATGTAGCCCATAAATCTAATCAAGCCGTCATGCTTCAAGTCATCAAAAGCTTCAAAACACATGTTTCACGCTCCTCTGGTTGCAGCCTGATGTATTCGGATCAGAATTAGCTGTGGTTCCTGCGGGCCCTTCAAAATCACTTCCTGTCTACGGGGTGAAATGGAAAAGTCAATTGGACAAGGTGACTCAGCTCAAAATACAACAGCTCCTTTACCGACTGTATAAGTGAAGTCATTTGTTGGAAATATTTCTCTCTTGATAGACAATGGGATGAGGAATTCTAGGAGTAACGGTTTCTGCCTTTTATGGGCCAAGAGACACACATCATTAGGTGTACTGCCTTCGCTGAATCAGGGAATATACGGCATCAGCCAATTTGGCTGTCATCAACCAGGGCAACCCGAAAAATCGTGATCTATCAGCGCAAAAAGGGAACTAAAACTTGGACGTTTTTACGTCTGAAGTGAAAAATAAACATCTTTTACAGCCTATAGAGTCTCTACGTGAAGACGGAGTAAGATAAAGTGTGCAGCACCTTCCTGTAAGGAAAGACACAAGTTCTACAATTTATGTATTAGAAGGGGAGGAAAGGAGGGTGGGCGGGTGACCGGACATCAGTCACCTATAGACACACAGATCCAAGATGTCCGGGACGCGTTGCTTCATTGAATTGCTAAGACACGAAATCCAAAAGAAATCTACGTCTCATGCGACACACCGCTAGTCATTTGGCAAAGCATATGGAGGTAAAAATAGGAGATTTTTGTGCAGATTAGGCCATAAATTTTTATATTGTATGGTTTAAGAACACAAAAGACCCAAAATAGAGATTTTATGGAAAAACTAAAACTAACTCTCTGGAACAGTTAGAAGACCCCTGTTCCAGTGGATTTTGGATGTTTAATTATCGTGGCGTAGAAATTTTTACTTCTAGTTGAGCGAAAGAGGGATAAGGGACCAACCTGATACGACAGTCCTGACTGGGTGCCGGTGTGAGAAGGCTGAGTGAGGTCATATCGTTGGAGATGATGGCAGAGGAGGAGCGAAAGGATTGATAACGTGGAGAGCGGAGGTTACGCGCCTTGTGGATGGTAATACGCAGTTGTTCGGCGGTCTCGTAATAGGAGATGGTGAACCAAACACGACCCAGATGATCAATCGGCACATCGTAGAGGTCCTCGTTGGTTTCACTCAAGTAGAGGTTTGGGTCGAGACGACCCAGCTCTCGGCTCTTGGCTGAAATATGAAGATGGAGCAATGTATTGCTTCACTCTACCCCACTGCCTATAATTCCTTGACGTTATTTCTTGAGACGATGACCTCCGTCATCTCCTAATATTAGCATGGGGCGAGTGCATTTAAGGTAGGGCATACGGTTAAGAAATTAGAGTGAAGTGGGAAAGGGGGCGCCTAAAGCTGGGCTCAGATTATTTGCTCTTGGAGGCAGAAGTAGAATCCGCAAAAATGAAGAATTTGAGATGGTCTTCAGGAGTTATTTCATCTTCTTCTGGAAATCTGCTTCACCTGGTTGGAGGATAAACCACCTCAACGACACAGTGAAGAGTTACTTTCACATGACCTACATTCAAATTAGCTTCAAAGAGTAATGAATTTTTTGCAACTGAAAGCAAAATTACTTGTTGGATGATAGACTTGGGGAATTATTTATGAATGAAAAAATTTTAATTAGTTGAATGGGTAGGCGATCCGATGAGCGTCATTTCCGTTAAATTTTTCAAGACGCGGGTAAGCGCAAACAGGAAGTAGTCGGGTTGCAACAATTAATTTTATCCCTATACAAATAAAAAAACGCACCAGTACGGCTTTTTTAGATTATATTCTGCCTTAAAAATGGACTTCATTCCACATTTTTGCAGTTTTATTGGACTACAGTTCGGCAGATACTACTTAATTCAATAACAGCAACAAGTAGGATATGAAATGAGCAAATTCCCCTCCAGTGATGCATGCTATAAATTTAGCCTGAGCTTATAGCGACAGTTCCATTTTACACCTAGCGAGAAATTGGAGGGAACAAAAGAAGTGACAGCTTTTCACCACGACCCCTTTGACTTAACACATTCATCCTGTCCAGTCAGCGAATCGCTCAGTACGACGAGCAACCTTCTTCATGCCCCCTACCTGGACCCACCTCTCGCCATTTACCATGGGATGGTTAATCACAGAATTTGTAGGAAAACAAAATTTTTTTTTATTAAAACAATCCATCAGGATGTTTTGCGTGATGATGCACTGCTTCAGGTGGACATGAATTTCCGTCTCAGTGAAACATCAAATTTCCCTACATCTTTAATCCTCCTTGATACTGTAAGGCAAAAAGTCGTAGCGTATTTTAAAGTAAGTTTTTTTTGAAAAAAAGCAAAAAAGAGGCGTTTTTTCAACCCCGAGGCTTTTAAATAACTCAATTTTGTGTATATGACTCAGTCCGACAAAAGTTGATCCCTTAAGGAGCAAATGAAGGTGGGAAAAATCAGTTAGTCACTCCACAGAAAGATTTTTAGAGAAAATGGAGTTTTAAGAATAAAAGAGAGCCTTTTAGGGGGTTTATTCTGTCCGCTTATTTCGAAATCAGCCTATTTTGAGTAGGACCAAAATATTTACCCCCGCCTTCAACGGAGGACAAGGAAAGTCGACCGAAGCTGTAGGGGATGTTAGTATACTTGCTTCGTGGGGCTATAGTCTCGAGAAAATTAGGGAGTCGCATAGAAATTTACACTTTGCCACATTTTCTTCTGTGACATAAAGCAATAAATTCGCATCTTTCCGGAGAGTTCACTCATCCCTGAATTATTCACGAGGCGCAACACCTGCGATACACGAGGGTATACCGGTTGCCTTAAAACGCGGACCCGCACTTCCATTAAACCTATTTCTGGATCTGGAGCGGAAAGGAGAGCCATCTGCACTTTACGCAATCAAAAAAATAGGGAACATATCCATTTTCCCCAATTCCATCGCTAAACAAAAGTCGGTGATGATGTCTCAGTTTTGTAGCTATCCTTTAGCAGTGTTTATGGGAAGTCATGACTTGACATTCATTGAATAAAAAATAAAGAAATTGTTATGCCGCACTTTTTGTACAAGCGAAAAAAGAAACGAAAGCAATTTTTGGGAAATTCGCCTCCGAAGAAGGCTTTCTCCACACCAAGCATCAGTTCCACACGTCAGGTGGGCAGTGTGACCCACTTACCAATTCATGAGGGTGGAGTTTGAACTTTACGGTGGAACAGGAGACATGACAGTTTCGTTTCCCTACATAGCTCGCCTCTGAAGCTATGACTTGACGTTGGTGGTTAAGGTGAGTGGGTAGTTATTGTGGCAGAGAGGCGGGAAGGCTCATTTAGGAGACTATCCCCCATCTTGGGTACGCTATCCAAAACATTTGCTCACTGATGAAAGCAGATAAAAAGGAAGACCATTGTTAACTTTGACTTACTGTTTTCGGCACTATGAAGCAACTTTGGCCCTTTTTAAGCAGACAACAGTTTCCAAGATAGCCAATGTGCCTACAAATCTGCATAAATTTAAAGGGTATAAACTCATTTCTAACCCTGTTATCTGTCAAGAGAACGAAATGCTTGATCAGAGGGATAAAGCGCGGAAATTTTTCATCCGCTTCCTTGCCAGCTTGTTCGCCTTTTGAGCGGAGAGAGCTCCATGTCCCCTCAAAATTGATTCATGGGAGAAATTTTTCGACCTATTAAATACTTTAACAACAAAGCTTTGGGTAAAGAAGGCAAATAAAATTTATCTGATTTTTGCTTTTTGTTAAATTCTAGAAGAAATCTGTTCTACATCTAATAAAGTATTAATGTTCACTGGTCTATCGATGGAATGGATGCTTCGAAGGGAGATGGTTGGAAGTTCCGAGGCGTGTGGTTGCTTCAACTCTTAAAATGGCCCCCTAAGTACTCATGAAAGGGAAAGTGTACATTGGTTACTAATGAAATACTCTTTGTGTTTTTACTAAGGTCAAAACGGCCTCGATAGCTCTTTCAAAGGGCTAAACTGCAAAAATGGGACGAATTTTAAGGATTTAGACCAACTCAGAGCTAATCTTGCAAAAAACATTTACCATAAAGCTCCGAAGGTCCCTTTCGGATTCAATGCATAAAAGAGGCTTAAAAATAGCAGGATAGAATCAATTTGCTGCTTAAGTCGAATGCCTAGAATCTAAAAAATCTTTAAAGTCAGATGGATTTTTTCTTTTTCGAAGTTCGAACTGGCTTTGTCACTCACCAAAAGCGCTGGGTCTGTACTTGATCGGGGTACTCCAGCCGGACGGGCTGTCCATTTCTCGAAGTGAGGAGGTGCTTTCTACTGTTGATTGTTGCATAAAGGAGGGAGTCGGCGCTGACACTGGCAGTGGAAGGGAACGCCAGCCCTCAACTACTCGACTCCTTATGGTCTGTAGCATTCTCTCCGTCTCTCGGCTTTGTCGATGCAGCTTTTTCCTCGACACATCCCTCGAGGCGGTTTCAATCAGCCCAGACAACGGTGTGAAGAGGCTTAAATACTGTAAGGGGAGAGTGGGCGGATGCACACATGTCTGCTGAAGTGTGCCAGGTTGATTAGCCAATCAGGATGCAGCAACCGATGAGGATGCAACCATTCAGGTTACTACAGTCTATCAAAATTGTTCATCAATTAATTTTTTTTGTGTTTTATGCCTGGGTTGATTTACCACAGCTAGAGGGTGTTATCTTACCTTTGACACAAAATTTACACCATTTTTGGCCCAAATTCTAACTAACTCAAATGATATCTGGCTCGCCCTTTTTTAGTTATCACCGTCCACTTTTAATCAAAGCTGAATTTATGTCCATCGTTATACCTAGTTTAACTTGAATGTAGAAGTTGGCAAAGACGGTTTTACGTGAGTGGACAGTTGAGGGAGTGCCCAAATAAGATACTACCAGTGATGGAGCGATGTATCCGCAATTTGGCCGGAAGCTACTCCAAGACCAAACCAAGTAAAGAGTAATTTTAAGGCATTCTGCAACTTAAGCACAATTATTACACGAATGCAGCCAAAGATATAGAACTAGGTTATTCTCCAGGAATTTTGTTTGCCTAGTTCCTTAGTGAATGTACAAATTCAGGGGGTACCTCCTAGATCCACCAGACCTCCAAGCATTAGGTTCTCTTCCTTTTCGTTCCATTTACAGCCTGAACTTCTTTCTTTGGATCTTATCCTTTTCTGATGGTACGGAAAGTTTTACTGCCCTGATTTATAACCCACACACTGATCTTGGTTAAGTAGGTAAGAGAGAGCCAGTCTTCCCCCATAATATTACTAGCTGGAGTTAGATAGGTTATGACAGCAAGTACGCGCACATGCGATAAGATTTTTTTTTAAAATTGCATCCACCAAGTAAGAGTAGACAAATGCTAAGACGATAATATAATTGAAAGGATAATGAACATTGGCGCTACAATTAAGGTGATTTTATTCAAGCACATCTTTTTCCATTTAGACACATGAAATAAAACATTTCGTCTTGTTCAAAGAAGAAATAATTCTCAACATTGAAATATTTTTAAGGATTTTAAGTGCACAACAGTATGATACCTGCTTATTTTGGGTGACCAGCGGGTTAATGTGTTGCAGTATCCCTCAAGGTCGGGATTCAGTGGTATCTCGACTTTCGCTGCGGTCAAAACAGGTGCCGACGAAGCGCATGTCGTTGAGAGTAGAACCAGAGGCTGCAACTGGCATGCCAGCCCCACATGTTAAAGTTAGTGGGTGTTGTGATGGGAAGGAGCGGCTCTACAACGTAGTCACCTGTACAATATTTCCACCTATAGGAGAATGTGGCGTTTCCTCCTCATTGACTGGTAGGCTCAAACACCACTTTATTATCACAAATTTGGATTGTTACTTAGTAGTATAATGCCTTGCTACTTTGTTTAATGCTGTGTTTGCATGCACGGGAACTGAAGTCCCAGATTGTACTTTTGCTCCACGCCACGTCAGTCAGTAGTCTCAGCTCCTCCTTCTGCCATGCTATCATGACTTCTCTCTACTTCAGCAAAAACTCGGGACTCTGAATTGGCGGCAGTGGTAAGCAAACCCGATCCTAAAGGGTAGTCACCCTAATTTTTGTTACTGAATGTTAAAACTTAAAGTGATGGAAGAAGAAAATGTGCTAGAGATTAGCTAATCAGTGAAGACCAATAACAGAAGGATTGAAAATGGTATCTACCTTTGGCAGCCACCCCAGTTCCAAGTTCTGCAAAAAATCCTACCGACATTTGAGGAGACAGTAGCTGTGACCCATCTGGAAGAGCTCATTGCGGAGTTGTCCATGATGTCTATATGAAGATGTCAATTGAGTGAACAGGCAATGCCTCCTTTAACTTTCCGCTAGCTAGAGAGAGCCAAAATAGATATATTGGCTGGATAGCACTGAATTGAAAATATGGCGATAGAGAGATGGAGACGTAAAACTTTATCCCATAAAACTACGATCAAATGACCTCGCTTTTAGGCCAGCGTTCTTACCACTAATGATGTGCGTACGAAATGACCTCGTTGCAGTGCTTTATCTAGTCCTCAGGGGTGTAAGAATAGTACATTTCCCTTTTCCCCAGCATAGCTCCCAAAAAGGACCAAAATGCAGACGTGGTGGGATTGTTAGAGGGAACAGCAAATTTGAAGACTGATGTAAATGGTTTGCCGGTGTTTTTTTTTACAGCGCTGACTACGTTGCGGTGGCCGACGCAGGAGGCTGACTAAGAGGACCGTCGGGGAAGACGCTCAAGAAGAAGGAGGGCTAGTTAAGGCTTTGATAGCTTGTTTAAGCCTGTATTTAATTGCTTAAGTACATTAATCTCGGTAGATTGCATTTCCTCTTAGACCACGCCACTAGTTACTCAGCCCTTCCGTACGTCAGCAATATATCTTTTGCAGTAATACCACGATTTTGGGGAAGACTCGGGAGGGGCACAATAAATGTCAGCTCAATTTAAAGATGTCCTTATTTGATAGGATGTTAAATCGAAAGCAGTAAAAACCTTTTCAACTACCTGGTACAGTAAATTTGGCCCGAAATGGGATATGCATGGAGACCGGATTAGGGACACTTACTGTCTTCTGTTGCTGTCACTATTTTACACCGCCACTAGGTGATCCACTAACTGCAAGTGGGTTCATATTTATTATCAACAAAAGTGGGCTAAAATAAAATCCCCTAAATCAAGAATGTTATTCAATTTTTTCCCTAGCAAACCAATCAATCAAGGTTTTAAAAAATTAACTAGCGACTGAACAAAAAGAGCTCATTTTCCTACCGAGGGGTAATAGCCACTTTTCAACAGCAGTGAAGTCTCCAGATCCTCTGTGAAAGGCTTCCACATAAAATGAGGCAGATTTAGACACCTGCTTATTAGAGACTCGTTTTCGTGTTGAAGACTGCCTGAAAATTGTATTACTACGAAAAGACCGAATAATAAACTAAAATGAAGGCATCTGAATGAAGAAGAAACACTTTTAAAAAATTTTAAATGTTAATTATTTTAATGATTGTCTGGCCTAAGGAATGATTGGTTGAATTTCAAAAAAGTAATATGGGGCATTATAGTGAATGGAAAGATATTTACTGGGGTGCCATAGCGATTTGATGGTTTGTTTAACTAAGCAATCTCGGCAGGCTGCACTTCCGCTGGGCGAAGTGGCCTTCTGAGCAAGCTGGTGGCCCACCAGCCCCTCTTCCACACCAGTTCGCAGCAGGTCCTTCCGCACTGCTTCGGCTCATCGCCACATCCGTGCAGACACGGTCTGTTATGGCAGCGCGAAGTAATTCCCTTTCTATGGTTAAGGTCGTTTTCACGGACTGAGTTACTTTCAGCTGCTATTATTAGTAAAATATATTTACGTAAAATATGCCTTAGTGAGTCTTTTAGTAGACCAACTGTTAAGGTGAATGCCCCACTTTCCTACTCAACGTGGTTTGAAGCCCAAATTATTTTAGTCCACACATGGTGTTTGGAAATATGAGCTGGAGTTCATTTTTTACCATTTCAACAGTATTCATTGACTAGACTTCTTTGTTTTTTGTAAAATTCCTCAGACGATTCTTAAAAGCCATCCATTTTTAAGCTGTGACGCTGGAGTTACGGCCATGTGGAGTCTTCTTTGCAAAAGTCTGTCAATTTCAGTGTATTTTACCACCAGCAATGTTCCTCATTCCTAAAAATTTTTACTGACTGATGTTAAAAAGAAAGGTAGTAGCATGCCAAAAGTCTAGGATATAAAAAACATTGGATGCTTCTATTTTCCCCACCGAAAGTCCATATCCTCCATGTTAAAAGTGGATGAAAGTATTAGAATGAACTCCCTCTTCCCCTAATCGGCACTACGGCATAGCATTTGTTGGTGAAGACTCGAGGGACATCCTTTATACCGAGGGTTTTATAGTGATAGTCAGTTGAGGCGGCCTAGATCAGCACATCCATTCAGCAAGAAACTTTAAAAGGTGTCAAAGCCGACGTCTGTGTGTTCAATTATTTTGGGTGAAAAAAGGCGGGGGTCAAATGGGACTTTTTTCAAGTAGAAAGGAGGTATTGTTTTCTAGATCAAATGAGAAAAATAAGAACGAATATTATACTTTTGGCGATTTTTTTCGTGAGGAAATTGTACATTTCTATGCAGGAAGTGGAAAATTCAGGTCCTGCGTGAATCTGATCGCCTCTTACCTGTTTTCTCTCCTTCGATTCTGGATGCGCTTTTACTTGAATGACGTTTGAGTTTCTGCGAAAACGAACTTTAGATGGACACTATTATATATTTTCCACTGGAAAAATTCTTTTGTTTTGTTGAATGATAGTTCTACCACCCTAACCTTAGGCAGTGACAACCCAGAGTGGTGATGGAAGAGTATTCTGCTTACTAATACACCACTAGCCTTTCCCAAAGGTCTGCTGCTGAGGCGGAACCACAATCTGCGGCGACTGAAGTGCCTGCGCGTAGTCGTCCGCACAGCCAAACAGGGCAATATGCTCGTTCGTCTACAACCTTTGGCTGATCATCCATCAATTTTGGCAAACTTGGTGTCAAAGACAACAGCATTAGTCTCTGAGGGGAAGAGGAATCCTAATTTCCTATAACATGTTACAGAAATCACAACCGGGGTAGTCAAGATATAAGGCCACGGAGGAACGCGGTCTTGACTGCCGACAAGGTGTCCCCAATCACGGAGGCTTGACACATTCA